CCTAGCTTAGAGCTCACAGAGATTCCCTGAGGAAGCCACTTGTACGGTGGTTTCCTTGGCTCTTTTTCTGTCATCTTTTTCCCATTTTCTTTCTATCTTCTAGGAATTCAACATGCCAACTTATAGACTACTGGTGGTCTTTCCCATTTTCTGGAACCGCTATACATTCAATCTTTTAAGCAGTGGGACTTAGAGAGTGGAGGTGCCCTTACTCTGCCCAGTCTTCCCTTTTTTTTTTTTTTTTTATCTTATGTTAATGTTGCACTCTTTGCTTAGAGGTGCAAGACCTTGGTGCTACATCAGCAAGCAACTAAAAAGAGAATATTCCCTTTCCTAAACATTCTTCCAGCTACTCCACCATCAGGAAGGTCTTAACTGATTTTCTATCTCCACAGGTTCCAGCCTCCTGACATTGGGCATAGCTCTACCCTCCTTATCACCAGTTCTTCTTAACAGATTCTCCCCACTGGTTTCCCTCACTGGAAATGGAACACACAGCAGGCCCATCCACCTAAATGAGGTGTCCAGTTAGGCCATTTTGCCGACCTGAAGAATTTCTTTTTGTTTTTTTAATAAGTGGAGACAGTTTATATGCACGTCTAGGTATGTTTATTTTGGGGGATTTTTATTTTTATTTTTTAGCTCCTGAAATATGGCCATGTTTTTGTTAAACAAAATATCTGGTATCAGCCAAGAGACTGATTAACATATGGGCCATCATGACCAAAAATAATATGACCAAAAAAAAAAAAAAAAAAAACCACCCCACAAAACACCTTAAGTCCACTTTCATCACTGGCATTTGGTTCATTATCAACATTACAAAATTTGGTAAAAGCCAGGAGAATTATCAGACATTAGGGACAAGTCTTTAAATCTCTCCCTAAATCTTGCCCCAGGCTACAGATCAAAAGAGATAAAGTAAATCAGCAACAAAAACAGCAACAAAAACCGCTTTAGTTGCTATTTAGAAAGCAAATGTTCAGTTTCTGTGTCAAAAAGCAAGCCCAAAGAGAGAACCTGCATTGTTGAGATTTATTCTGTTAATGGACTGGCAAGAAGAGATAGCTATAAACCCTCTTGGCATCAAAAGTCTAGGCTTAGAGCCAGTAGATTCTTAAGGTTTATTCGGACCAGCACACATCTTGACGCCAGCAGAGTGGACGGTTTAAATACCATCCTCTTCACACAGGTATCTGAATTGTGTAAGGGTGTGAGGGTGTGTGTGTGTGTGTGTGTGTGTGTGTGTGTGTGTGGCAGGCAGGGGTAGGAGAAGGTGACAAATTTAGTTAAGGAAGTAAAAATCCCCTTCCCTAAAGCTCGTGTCTGAATGATGAAACCTCTCTAATCGTCCATCCCCTGATTGGTACTCATTTAAGAGCCATGATATTCTTAAGCAAATATAGTCATAATTCTGATATGCTGGTAACAAAAAATATCAGAGTAATCCTCCTAGTCTTTTCAAGAATTAATGTAAGAGAGCAGTACTCTACTTAACCCATAGACTACGAAAGTAACAGTATTGAGTTACTTGCATATAAACATCAAACTTGCAAATAAATCCATGTAAATTAAAGCACTAAAGAACGTCCCGCCCTCTGTCTCTGTCCTGCATAGAAGAACTGTTTACTCAATCTGAATATCTGAGGACAATCAGACCCAGAGTGTTACATCCTCTTCAGAAGATGCAGAGAAGTTCATTTCCTCATGGATATATAGAAGAGTTCAGAAGTGGTGATTATTCCCAAAATTTCATCTGTCTTATCTCTTGAAACAGAAGCTCTCTGCCTCTATACAGAGCTCAATTTCCCAACTCTTACCCCTGAGGATTCAGGAGTGAGGAACTGGCCATTTGGTGCACAGAATAGGGAAGGTACGTTCTTACCAGAACCCAGATGACATTTTTACTTATGGGGGGAAAAAAAAAGTTAAAAGTAATGTTATTATTAATACTACAAATCAAATGGCTCTTGATCGCTACCTCAGAATCCAACAACTTATGATAGTCTATCTGTATTAAAAAAAAAAAGTTGAGAGTAACCTTTAAAAGTTAAATCTTATCCATGTTGCATTACATTGCAACTTAAAAAGCATTTAATATATTTAAAAATACCTTCTCATGCAAATGTTCAGAGAATCCCAATAACCCAATGTGTTTGGCAGAGAATACATTATTATATTCATATTTCAAATGGCGTCCTTCCTACAGAAAGTTTAAATGACTAGCCCAAGCTCATCTCATCGATAATAGGAATGCTTTCCTTTAATGAGCTAGTGAGATACACCTGCCCCCACACTCCCAACGCCTTTGTAAGTGTCCAAATTCCTATTATTCTTCACATTTCCAGCCCAAATACTTCTGTTTTCATGAAGATAGTTATGATGCCCACGCACGCCCCACCAATGATAGTGATATGTTCTTCCTTTGACCTCATAGCACTTTATCTCTGTTGCTACCATAAGTTAATAGACTTGGAATCAGAAGATTTGGTTTGAATTCTGCTTGATTATTTACAATCAGGATGATCCTACCAAGTAAAGTAACCATAGTAACCACCTGAACACTAGTTTTCTCATTGTTAGTCAACAGAATATTTGCCCATAGAATTATTTGGAAATTCAATTTTGATAAAACAAGAAAGAACTGTGTCAACTGTAAAGTCTTATACAAAGTTACTTCTCATATAGTAACTTCTCATTTTCTTTCTCATGTACAACTTTTCTTTCCCCTATTTTATTTCCTGGAAGAAAGACCACATCCAATGAATTCTTGATTCTGTCAGAGCATTCAGGGATGCTTCACAACAGCCATTTGATACAAAGTTGCAGAATGAATGGTTGAATGTACCACTACATTAATCAAGGTAAGTTTCATAAAGCAGAATATTCACCGCAACCTGCTAAACGTGGAAGGCCAAAATCTGACTTTGACTTCTCTCCAATCTCACTGCCTATTTTTTTCCCCCATCACTTCAACCAACCTAGATTTACCTCTGATTCCTTAAATACACCCTATGTTTTTCTGGCTCTAGGTTTTGGGCCAAATCATCACCCCCTTTCGTGCCCTTCATCTGTTCAAACAGTATCCAACCTTAGCTCAAAATGGTTCACATGCCATTTTCTCCATGAAATTTTTCTTAATCTCACCCACTGGAAAGGACAGTTCTTATTCTGAAGTCCAGGGTATTTGTCCATCTCTCTCATAACTCCTATCATTTGACCACATGTTATGTTGTCCTTTGCATGTATTATCTCACCTAATACACTTTGATCTTGTGAAAAACAGCATTGTTTTAGTTATCTTTATATCCTTCCAAACACGTATTAAAATGTCTTCCATATAAATAGGTATTCTAACAATATATGTCGCTTCAAAGTCCAACTGCATGCCTCTGCTTTATAAATTGCCAAAAAAATGACATTTTATGAAATGATCATCTCTTGTTTGAAGTCGTCATTACCATCCATTCCTATCAACATCATATAGTATGAGCAGAAACGTATCTTCGCCAAAATTTTAAAAGCTACAACTATATAAACAAACTACTTATAATCCAATTTCTGCAATAATTTGAATGCAGCATATTCTTTTTAATCGCAATGTTATATTAAAGAGAGCTTATCTGAAAAGCTAAGGTACTTAATAGGACTTTTGGATAAGAAGAGTAAATGATACTTCAGAAAACAACCGGAAGTTAACACATTTTTAATTTACATCATTTTAATCTCTCATCACAGTAAGGATCCAAACTAACATAACAGCTACCAATAATCATCAATGCTGTTATTATCATAAAATAGATTTCATTTATAACAAGGGTACACAAGTCTCCTCTCTCAGGGATCTTTAAATCACATAATTCTTCATTGCCTGCTGTCAGTTCCTTCCTGGCTGTTCGCAGACAAAATGCACACATAGCCCACTAACAGCTGTCCTCCAGACAAAGTGATTTCTGTGCCTTCTCACCGGGTAGGAGCCACCAGATTTCTTTTAAAAACGTATTCTTCTAGCTTCTCTATTCTCACTTTTATTATTATCTCATCTTCACTATGTTACTTCTTAACTCCAGAGATTTCTGAGCTTTTTTGCTGTTTGGGCTTTTTACCCCTTCTCCCTGAATGTCCCCAAATCTCTACCTATTAAAATCTTTTTTTAAATTAGTTAATTAATTTATTTTTGTATTCAGTGCCTTTAAGTGCTGGGTTAACATTAACTGACTTCTTGAGAATTACTTTTCTATCCTCACAGTAAGCAATGTTGAGCTCATTTGTGTCACTACTGGCCCCTTTATGATTTGATAGGTCAGGAAGGCTTACCAAAAGCCCTGAGGATATAAACTGTGGTCTTCTGAGAAGACACCCATCAATGGTGAACCTGTTCTCATGACTTCTCCACTTCACAAACTGACTTATACTGTTATAAATGACTCTCAACTAATGAGTGAAGCATGTCTTCACAGCTATATCAAAATCACTGGCAGGGAAAGGGGATGTACAGTTTGGGAAATTTTTTTCAATTTTATATTGAAATTGTATTTATAATGTGAAAACAACGTCTGCTTTTTTCCCAGCACAGATATGACCCCAGTTAAGAGTACCTTAAGTTGGGTAGGCTGGAGTATGAATTTAAGAGTTAAATTAGTATCACTGCATACTAAACAATAAATATCACTGTATGCTACACAATAAATAGTGTGGATCTTACGGGACAGAGTGCAATGAGTCAGTGCTCAGCATCTTTGAACGGATTCATTTTTACTTTATATGCCAAACTTATCAGAAAATCCGGCAATATTTTGGGCTTATTCTTGGGAGAAAATATTTAACTTTTTTTTAAATTTACAATTAGCACAGGAGAAAAAGAGGAAGGAAGGGGGGGAGGAAGGAAAGAATGAGAGGAAAACAATGTCATTCTATGATACCAGGGATAAACTAAGCATGATTTGCGCAAGATGATGATATGGTTTAAGAGCATGAACACAATGAATAAATGCACTCACCTCGGTTAAATGAGGATTGGGATTAAAACCACAGAGGCTACATACAGTGGCTTGACACTCAGTGCATGTGTTAAAATTGGCCTTTTCTGGAACATGCAACAGAAGTTCAGTGGTATTGCAAAGAGGACAGATGGTTTTAGGGAGGCCTTGTACTGGAGTCTGTGCTGCAGATGGAGAAGTCGATGGATGCAGAGGTTTCCCAGCTCCTGTTTGGCTTACTGGTTTTGGAGATTGCTGAGCTGAAGGCTTTGCTGGGCCAGGCTGTTGAGGAGCAGGTTTTGCTGAACCAGGCTGCTGAGGTGAAGGCTTTGCAGAGCCAGGCTGCTGAGGAGGGGGCTTTGCAGAGCCAGGCTGCTGAGGAGGGGGCTTGGCCGGGCCAGGCTGCTGAGGAGGGGGCTTTGTAGGGCCAGGCTGCTGAGGAGGGGGTTTTGCTGGGCCAGGCTGCTGAGGAGGGGGTTTTGCTGGGCCAGGCTGCTGAGGAGGGGGTTTTGCTGGGCCAGGCGGTTGAGGTGGAGTTTTTCCTGGCCCAGGCTGCTGAGCCGGAGACTTTGTTGGCCCAGCCTGCTGAGAAGGAGCTTTTGCAGGCCCAGGTGGCTGAGCTGGGGACTGTGGCCCAGGTTGGTGAGCTTGGGATTTTGCTGGCCCTGGCTGCTGAGATGGAAGTTTCTCTGACCCAGCCTGTTGAGCTTGAGGCTTCGCAGGCCCAAGTGGCTGAGCTGAAGACTTTGGCCCAGGCTGCTGAGCAGCAGGTTTTATTGTCCCTGGTGGCTGGACTGGGGGCTTTGCTGTCCCTGGCTGTTGAGCTAAGGCCTTTGTTGGCCCTGGTTGCTGAGCTGAGGGCTTTGCAGGCCCAGGGTGTGGTGTGGCAACTTTTTCAGGTCCAGGTTGCTGGGCTGGAGGTTTTCCAGGACTTGCTTGCTGAATAGATGGTTTGGTTGGGCTTTGCGCTGAGGGTTTAACTGATTCTCCCCTTAGAGCGTCGGACTGTTTAGTCTGAGGCCTGGCTGCATCTCTCTGAAGTGGCAACTGTGCCTGGTCTATCTGAGGTGCCTGGGTAAGCCCCTGAACTGGCTTGCCTGTCCCTGGGGGCTGTGATTTCATCTTTTCCGGTTGCTGAGAAGATCCTGATTTGGGAGAGCCATCCTGCTGTGGTGGGACCCTCACAGGTCCCTGCTGCTTTGGATCTGGCTTAGGTGATTGTTGTGATGGAGGCTTTGTGATTCCTTCAGGTTTGCCTGGTTCTTTCTGAGCTATTTTTTGTTTCTTGGCAGTTTCTTCCTGGGATGCATCAGAGTCTGATATCAAATCAAAAGGATTGAATTTATTTACAACAGAGGAGACAGCACTTAAAGGGTTAACCTCTGAGAGGAAGCCAGGCATCATACTAGACTTGTGCTCTTCCTTCAAATCAGTTCTGGACTTTGATTCTTTCAAGCTAATAGTGGAAGGACTCCTTCCAGGCGACTTCTGCTCTGACCTCAAAGTGTCTGTAGTTCTACTTTTACTGAGACCAGGCTGAGCTGAACGCCCAGGGTCCGGCGGTTTTCCGGGTTGCTTTGGAGGATGACTACTCTCCAACTCTTGCTTCCTAGAAGAATGAAATGAAAAGAAGTAAAAATAATGGAAAGTATCCCAACTCAAAATAATATTAACAAGCCATTACATTCTTAGAGCCTCAAAATTACGCATGTATAGATATAACTAGAACACATTTTTGCAGCATCCTGTAAATGATCATAAAATCCTTCAAGTCTTTGTTACTTTCTTTAAGTGGATAGAGATTTTCAAAAAGGTAAACAAGAGGGGGAAAAACCAATACTTGCTACTCTAAGATATCTAGTTAGACATCACTTATAATAGTCTACATTTACACTTAATAGAATCTGGCCATCCTTAAAACCTTATTAAATATATCAACTCAATAAACCAATGCAGGGCCATGTTCTAGTATGTTCATGTTTGAAGAATGTTATTCTTCCAAATGCTAGCAGCACCAAGAATTAAGAATATTCATTTTAAAATGTGGGAGTTGTTGCAACTGTTTTTTCTTTTACTTGATAACAAGAAGTTACATTAGTAACATATAGCACACGACATCGGGGAACTTTTTAGTAAAAGAGGTTACGTGATGCATTTCCAGGAACACTGAGAAAGTTGATAATCTATTCAACTTTATTCTGTTGGAAAAGATATTATCCCTCAAATATTATCCTTATTAAACTTTATAAAATGAGAAGTACTACTTCAATTAGAAATTTTTGAGAAACAATTCCGTATTTCTTGTAGAAGAAAAATGTTATGTCATTTAATTATTTTTCCAATAGCTAATTATTAACCTGAGATCTCTATGCAAAATAATGATAGATGCTTAAAGAAGCTTGAGATACAGCGGGCATACAGTTAGCAACAAGCTGGTTATGAACCTACTTTCGAAAGTACTGTTACTTTTCTCAGAAGATACATAATAATCTCTTAATGTTTTCTATAACATTTACTATTGCCACTGTTAGATTATTAGTAATACTATTTATTATTGACAAAGATTTAAGGACATAACTAACTTACAAATTTTAATTCATAGACAAACATACACGAATTTTTTTAAATAGTTTTGGAAACATGATCACTTTGAAATAACTATGGTTAAATAATTAAAATAGTTGATTTTTTATACTTTTAACCAAAAATCAAATACATTACTTTTTTTTAAATAAGCCATTCTTTACTGATAAAGTGGTAACTAATAAGAATAGGCTCTATTAGGATTACATAAAAATAAAATTACGAGTATTTCATTTGATACATGAAGCTTTTTAACTTCGGAAAAAGATTTATTTCTTTTTCATTAAAAGAAAAAAGAAACAGTTATTCAGTAGCACTTAAAATATGAGATGATCACAATAAAGTTCTACAAGTTTTAATTTGTTTTGTGAAAATTTACCTGCTAATGGGCCAGATTATAAACTTTTAATTTCAAATTATTTAGTACTTAATATGAATTAAGTTTTTGAGATTCCCCAAATGGCACAGAAACTTGAGACAGATCAAGTTATAAGGTACTGTAGAAAGAAATACAGAAGTATTACTTCTAAACAGCAAAAAATAAGAAGGAAATAATCTATAAAAGCCACCATATGCAAAAAGTGATTTTCTAATAAAAGTTGAATAAATAGAATTCTTAGTTTTGGCAATTTCCTCCAGGAAAAAAAGTTACAGAAACTTTAGATAACTTAAACAAGGAACTAAAATTGTTACCCTAATTAATTCCAATGGTTCTAAGGTATCTTTTAAAATACTATGTATTTCCATTTGGAGAAAATAATTTTGAATGTTTCTTTACAGGCCACTCTGTGTTCCCTTACACAGCAAGATAGAAGAGCTATAGTAAACAACCTAAGATAGATTATTTTCAAAAATTTCACTGTTTAGACCTTCACATTATTCTAGAAATGTTCCACGTTCAATTAATAAAATCTACCACTCTCGTGAAGGGCATATGCTTAGGAACTTCATTACAGAAGTTCCTATCTCATAAGTAATTACTTAGGTATATTATTTAATTGGCTCCCTAGTAGAGTCCTAGAGACCTATATTTAAAGAGTACAAAAAAAGAAATCTATTCTTAATTTACTAAATTGTCCTCTCTTGAAAATACTATTAAACTTAATCATTGTTTTGTGTTGTTGCACGTCATCCAACATATGTACAAAACAAAAAATAAACTTTGGGAATACCAGATATTTGTGATATCAACACTAAAATTTAAAGCAAGCTGCTTACAGCAGAAATTATCATTGCATGTACCTCCTAAAATATAAGTTGTATAATAAAATCCCCATGAGAAAACTGATACAGCTATAAAGACTGCCCCACAATTTAAACTAACTTCAGCTACTAGAATTATATAAGTAAACATCAAACATGGGTGTGAGAAATAGAGAATTGCTAAAAGAATATACAGACTTAATACTGAACAAAAATAGAAAGATGTCTCAGGTAACTGTGGTCTTCTGGTGAATTTTTGTTTGGTGTAACAGTTGCTCTATCAAAAAGAAAAACAACTAAAACACAATCTGTGTCTTGTATCCTACACTGTGACCTCCTAGAGAAAGTGTTTCACTCATCTTTGCGTCACTAGAACCAAACCTGTTAACTAGAGTGTTAGTGTCTCGTGAATGAATGAACGAATGAATAGGTGGATGACAATGAATCAATGAATCAATGAATGAATCAGGTTTTTGTTTTATGCTAGACAATGTTTCTCGAATTCTTTTCAAATTCTTCATGGTTGTTGAGATATAAATGGAAAAATTCTACATGCATTTAGAACCTGGACTTGGCCTGCTACTCTAGGAAGAAAAACGGTTGTGGAATTGTCCACCAGTAGGATAGGCCCAAAGGAATACTAAAGAAAATAATGGATTCAGTCAGAATTCCTATAGAATATTCTACCAATCAGAAGCATTTTTCAGTAAAGCCCTTCTCATATCTGTAGCTGTACACAGAAAGAGTAGACCAAATGATAAAACTGCCTTTTTCTGTGTCTTCAATTAATCAAAAATCCAGAAGCATTTTGTTTGTAACCTGTAACTTCTAGCTTGTAACGACCCATGTTTTGTACAACCTCCTTTTTCATTACTACTGTCATCCCCAGATTAGAATTTTTCTTTCACAGATTAGCAGAAAAAATATTTCAGCTACAAATGAAGTAAACATACATTCACGGATACAAATGTAAAAGCAGTTGGAATGCTAAAAAAAAATTTTTTAATGGAGCACAACAGGCAGTGACACTTGATAGTGCTGAGTCACATAAAAAATTTTTGATATTAGAAATATAAGCAACTTTGGGGATAGCTATTCATTTTTATACTGTAGAGGATACTAGGGCTTAAAGAGGCTAAGTGATTACTCCAAGGTTATAAAACTAGTTAGTCACCGGTATCTGGTATCGAGACTTCTGGTGGGGGTAGGGAGGGGAGTGGAAGTTCCACTGCATGGCACTGACTTTTCCATATACATAAAAAATACATATATAGATACATCAAAATAACTTACAAGTGAAGAACTCAACATACAATTTGTCTGGAGCCACCATTGCCAGTGCCATCCACTGCTGATATTGAGATCACTACTTCTGATACTTATAGATTCCCTTAAATTCAAACAAAAACATCCCTGTCAATTTGTAACTGATCCTCACAATGACTCTACAAGATAGGTAAGACAAGTGTCATATGCCTTATTTGGGGGCAAGGAAACTGAGGCAGCTAGGCTGAGAAGCATACAAAATTTGTCATGAGTCTGTTAAAATTAATAGGACAAGAACCTAGGTCTCTGGGCTCTCAACCCTTATGCAAAAACAAACAAAACAAAACCACCATCTCTAACTGACACACTTAACCTCTTCAGACTTTAAATAATTTGCATCTACTTTCTTATACATACTTAAGTTGGTGTGCTTCTAAAAATCTAAATGATAAACCAAGTGTTTCTTTGGTTATCACATCCAAGGATAATAATGTTCCAAAAATTATGTACATTCTATAAAAATTTTTCACTAAAATATAAGAAGGTCTCAAAAATCAGAAATATATTGTTTATACAGGTAGATGAAGCTTTCACCAATAACTGCTGAGGCCACAGATTATCTGTTAATAAAAATTCTACTATAACAAAATTATCAATGCAGAATCTGACATAAGCACAGCATAAAACCAGTTTAATAGGGTGAAACTGTTATTTTTCAGCCACCCCCTGAATAGAAGAAAAGTTAAGAATGCAGAAATAAAAGCTCACACTTTTTCTTGGTCTGTGTAACCAGCATGCTAAACCTGTTGCATGTACCTCTTAGGAAAAACTGTGAAAGAGCTGGAATACATTTCTAAAAGGCTAATAAAAGTATTGTACCTCATTATTACCCTATGAAAATCTAATATATGAACGTTCAACATTTTTTCCAAGTCAGGTTTTCACCAGTAGAGAAAAATGGTGCATATCATAAGCTTTAATACTTAAGGTAATGGATAAAAAAGACTTTATACCAAAGAAATAGCCCCATATATTACAAGTTGAAAAACACATTTAACATAAAGGAGCAAGTTTTTACTAGCAGTAGTGGCTTTGTTTCAAGAACATAGGGTTTTTAGCTGATATATTCTAAGCATTTAAGATTTTATGTTAAAAATATTGCAACTATCCGTTACACTTCTATGTTAAATTAAAATATTTGACAAAATTATACGCATATACTTATATGATAGTTCCCAAGTTAAAATACTTCTATGAAGTAGGGGTTAAGAATCTACACCTACAATATGCAGATCTTTCATATTTCCAATATCTCTAATGAAAATTGAAGGTCTCTCTTCAATTATCATAAAGCAGGAATGGTTTCAGGACAACGGACAGAGAACTGTACTCTAAGGGAGGGTGTAAAGTTAAAGGGTTTGTTTACAATAATAAAGGCAAGGCAGGCACAGTGATTATACCCTCTTACTACTCTAATTAGAAAACAAGTAATTTATTAGATGAAGGAAAATGGAGAGCTAGAGAGGGAAATTAATACGTTAATATTACAGAATAGCTCTTAATTGCCTGCGCAAGTTGTCACTTATTTGCTTTGTCTTAAAATGTATTGGAAACTAATCTTAAGGTAACACAAATCCACATGTTTTTCCACCAACTAAGATACTTTTGCATATAAAAGAACAATAGTTTAAAAAATAGCATATACTGATTCAGAAATACATGTACAGCACCTGGTCTGCTGCGACCAAACCATCTGTTTAATGCCACAACATATTTTAGGGTCCTTCATGGACTATAAAAGGTGTATTCATTCTATACCTTCTACCTAATCAGCTCCTGTTCTCCTCTGGGGGTGGGGTGGGAAGGAAGGACAAATCACCTCCGGGGGAATTAAAGGTATTATTACAGAAATATTTCAGACATCATTCACAGAGAAAAAGATGCCTAAATGACTGAGGAGGTTTAAACAGAGACAGGTGAACACCCAGTTCTATCCATTCCCCAACACGTCCGTTTTCTATTAATGGAAGACTTCCAGATTAGTAAAACACTGGAGGGCGTCTCTCCACGCCTTGGAAAAGGTTCCAAAAGGCCAAAAATCACAACCTAAAATCACAGTTCCAAGAATGCAACCCTTGACTATCCCACCAGAAACTCTACAATGCATCATTTTTATTCTGCCCATCAAAAGGCTTATGATCTCCTTATCGTCACCCCATTAGGGAGAATAAAATGGACAGAAGCGACATATATGTACTGCCGTGCTGGCACATACGGGCTGACACATATGTGCACGGGAAGCTGTACATATATGCCCGGACATATACATCATGCTGTGCGTGCCTGTGCATGGAAGGCGGCTCCGCAGCGGCCGGGGGGACGCTTCCCTTGGGCAGCCCCTGCGCCCTTGACATGACAGCGGCGATCTGTCTCCTCTCCTCTTCGCTCAGCTGGCTCAGATCCGCCTCCATGCCGGCCGGGATCACGGTGTGCAAGGAGCTCCCCGCCCCGCCAGCCCCTCCTCCGGCTGCTGCCGCCGCCGCCGCCGCCGCCGCCAGCCCTTCCGGGAGCCCTTCCCCTTCCAAGCTCGCCTCGTTGCCCATGGCTCAGGGGGACTCGGGGCCGCCGCGCTCCCTCCTCGCGCTGCGTCCCCGTCGGGAACCCCGCGGCCCGAGCAGCGACCGGAGCCGGGGTCCGCCGTGGGGCGTGCAGGCGGCGGAGTCCCCGGGCTCGGGACCCGGCACCGCTGCCCGGAACGCCAGGCGGGTGCTAGTCCCGCTCACAGGTGACGCCCGCAGCCGGTGCCTCCTCCATGTTGGACAACTCCCCGAAGCCGCCTCGGCGCCCCGAGCCGGGGAGAAGCACGTCTGAGCTCTGCCAGCCGGGCGCCGTCCGCCCCTCCCACCGCGCCCCGCCTCCTGGCCCGCGCCCTCGCAGTGCGCATGCCCGTCTCGGAACAGGTGATGGCCGCGCCCGCGCCCAGCCCGCGCTGCGTCTCTCTGTATCCTTCCTCACTCTCGCACCGATTTAAAGGAGCCTGGCGAGAGCGCGGCTGAAAACCGGGACGAAACAGCCGGCTTTTCTTTCAGGCATATTTCAGGATGCCTCAACCTGAGTTTTCGCGAACTACATTCAAGGGGCAGGGAGGGGCTGGAGGGGAAATATCTGCTCCCTTCCTTGGACTCATGGGATCTGTAGTTTCTTTTTTTTTTTTTTTTTTTTTTTTTAAGGAAGGGCTTTTTAGGATTTTAGGAATGGATTCAGGTAACTGGAGATTAACCTATGATACCTTTGGGACACATTCTCCCAAAGGAGCTAAGACTGGAGCTTTTTATTTAGGACTTTTCCAGAATAATTACATTGAAATCTTAGATACAGCATCAGTAAGGTGGTAAAGTTTTTGAATGCTTGTCACTGTATTGTTCCCTAAAGGGACGACAGAAAAGTAGAGGATTATGGGAAATTGTGCATGGGATACTGTAGTAAGATTCAGATTGTAGAATATTAAAATGTTAAAGTGATGTGAAATTTTGAAAATAAGAAATTCAGTACCTTTTTTTCAGTTCTTCTCTTGTGGAGAGACCCCCGAAAGTTAATTTATATAGAGGCACATAGCTGGTTAGCAGCAGAAGTATCACTAATAACCGTTCTTCAGACCCAGTTCCCATCCATTCCCAAACACACAAGCTCTTCTTGCTACTACATTTCCTAGAAGGAGATGTTTTAGTTCAGCACTGGATATGCAGCCCAAGTTTTACTCTCCACCTTGGCTAACTAAATGGACCTAATGTCCCAATTGTTGAGGTTAAAGAAAATCAAAAGCTAACTACTGGGAATGAATAAATACACAGAAATGAATAAGTTGCTCAGAAAGTTTCCAAGGTTTTACAATAATCGTTATAATAGTTTGATATTTTGCATTCCACTTGTATCAAAACTAAAAAATGGCACAGTTATAACAATTTGTGATATGTGCTGCTTTTTAAAGATGTCTAGTCATCAGATGAAGTATCATTACCTGTTGGGTTCCTACAAAAACTTTGCATAAACTTTGATTCTCTCATAACATACTGAGATGTGACTTCCAAAGTCAAAACTGCGAAGAGTCATACATTATTTTTAAATAAAGAGCATGCTTTCACCTCACACAAACCAATGACCAGAGGCAACCTGACATTCTGATAGCCACACCTGGAGACAAATACACAATCATCATACTGCCTGGAAATAAGTTTGCTTCAAAAAAGGAGATAATTGGTACGTAATCCTGAATCTCTGGCAAAATGAGTAGTTGCTCCAATGCCTAGAGAGCCCTAAGGCTCACTAAGGCTGGATGGAGGTGGGGAAGAAGAAGATTCATGTGCTGATTATTTTTTCATAGTATGCTCAAGTGTTGTGAGAATAAAATACATTTGATAAGTTTACATTCACAAGCCACAAGGCTTAAAGAAATGATAAGATGAACACTCAAAGTCTAGCCTCAGAATAATGATTAAACTAGAAAACAGATTGTTAACTCTATATTCTCTCCCATTATGGGTGGAAAGGAGCCTGTAAAGTAATAAGAAATAAGAAGTGAAAATCAATATGCCAAGTAATGCGCATAGACTAAACAAAAAGCAATAATTTGTAAGATGGGACTATTATAGCCCATTGTGAAGACATGTGCATTCACCTTCTCCTTCCCTCCTGTCGCAGGAGCAAACGTCATCAGAAAACAGGAAAATGGGATGTATGATAGAAAGAGTAAATGGACTGTGAAAACAAGTGGGAAACATTTTGGTTGTTGAGGTTTTAAAATGACTTTGCCTTTAGGACCTTTATATCTGTGAGTTTTGAAAAATATTTCTTTTTTTTCAGTCTCCCATTTGGGCTTAACAGTTGCTTGTGCCTGGGAGGTGTTTCTGATACAAAGAAAAACACTAGAGCAGAAGCCAGGTGTATTACTCGAGTTTGAATTCTCAGAATTCTGAGGGTACAAGGATGAGAAGTTAAATGTTATAGATAAAATTTATCTATACATTCTCTCCTTGCTTACCCAGAGAAATATCACAATTAGTTTCATTCAGCAAACTCACTAATGGTGCTGTATTCAAAATCTTTGTTGCTCCCTATTCATTATACCTACTGTAATGATCATTTATTTGAATTTAGATTTAATTTAACAAGCTGATAGTTCAGCTCCAATACACTCAGCCTGATAGGTAGGTCATGAAATTAATTAATTTATGAAAACTTGCACTGTTATATACCATGATGTCTTTCTGAAATGACTTCTCAACTCTGGAAAACCAGATCTTTTCCTTTGTTTACTTTTTGTCTCACTTTCCCATGTAGTTTCTATTTTAGTAGATTAGAACCCATCTAAATGTGATAATTAACAATAAATATGACAAGATAATGAGTCCTTGGAATGAAATTGCCCAGTCTACCCATGTCCTTGCAGACACCACTCAACTTAGGATAAAACCAAATAGACCACCCTGTGTGTCACATGTCCCATACTTGAATAAATTCAGGCTTTGCAAAAATTAAAGTTAGAATAGTCTTCATCCATATAGAAGAATGTGTAGTCTCATTAGTTTTTAAAAACCCACAATTAAATAATCTTCATATAACTTAGCCTTTTAATTAAAAATAATAGCATATATTTATTAAATTCTATTTAGTAAGCAGTTATCTGAATTGTGGCTTATTTATTAAATGTCCATTATATCCATATTAAAATCATTATAATAGTGCAAGTGAGTGTTTTGTAAAATACGCCATTTTCATAAGTTAAATTTGAGAGTATAGATTCAAACTTCCTAGAAAATAATTTAGCAATACTTATCAAGAGCCTTAAAAAGAGTCATAATCTGTGATACACTTCTAGAAACCAGCCCTAAAGAGATTGTTTGAATTATATAATGGTATTATGGAAAAATATGTTCACTAGAGTATTATTTATAGTAGCAATAAATAGTCATTACTGCCTCAGTAAACGAGAATGGAGAAGTAGAATCTGGTACAACCAGATGACTGTATTTTGTATTTAAAATAATGTTTTTAAAGAGTCCATTACAACATAGGAAAAATTTCACAAAGTATACACTGGACAAATTTTCATAAATGTATGTGATCACAATTGTGCAAAAAATTAAGTTACTAAAATGCATAGGAAAAACCCCAGGAAATTAATAAACCAACAAACAGAACCCATATATATTTAGTGAGAAGACCATAGGTAATCTTACTTTTTCTAATTTTCTATAGTTTCCATATTTTCCAAAATCAACTTGTAGGATTTTGTTTTTTGGTGTAGGAGCACCAATAATTATGACTAATCATTTTTTAAAATGACAAAAATAATGCAACCTGTTAAGCTAGATAAGCAAAATGTTATTATCATTTTGTGACAAATGCCTATGAAGAAAATGAAAAAAAAAAAAATTACCGTGGGATATACCCTAACAGTGATTTCACATGATTAGGTGAGTGATAAAACAAACTATTCTTATACTTTCTATATTTAAAAGACCAAAAAAAAAAAAAAAAAGACCATGCATTTTAGTGTATGTGTGCATGTATATATTCATGTTGGTGTAAATATAGACATAATTTTTATATAGGCACATTTTTCTAATGTTCCTTCTCTAATAGAAGATAAGAGAGGATTGCATTAATTTAGTGGAGCAAGAGCCTGCAGTGGTTGAAGGTCCGACTTCATTTTTTGCTATGGTTGATCTGCTTCTCAATTGCAGCTCTAAGCCATTTTTGTTAGCTTTGCTTTAAAATGAGATTTGCAGCTACAGAGGAGGAAATTCAAGTGAGATTGCAGTTGATTATGAACTGGCTTCTCAATTTTGAGGGAAAAACACATGAGAAGTATTTTAGAAAAAAGTTTGATAAATTTATTTTTGAATTCTGACATCTGGACTATCAGGCAGTTGTTGTTTTTTTTCTTTTCCCCTTTATACTTACTCTACAGCAAAGCTGTAATTTAAAATAAAAGAAAAAAGTTGCTTGTATTTCAAATATGTTCCTATAGACATAGGGTATATAAAATCTTAAGAATAAAATTAGTTATCACGCCACTTTACACCATTACATTGTAAATTGAAAAATGACTAATAAGTCATGAGGTTATAACTTAGGTAATTCAGCATTACTTATTTACCTGTTTTATAAATAGGCTTTATTTTTTTTAAAGATTTTATTTATTTATTTGACACAAAGCGCACACAAGCAGGCAGAGCAGCAGGCAGAGGGAGGGGGAGAAGCAGGCTCCCCACTGAGCAGGGAGCCTGATGTGGGGCTCGATCCTAGGACCCTGGGATCACAAACCTGAGCCGGAGGCAGATGCTTAACCAACTGAGCCACCCAGGCGCCCCATAATTAGACTTTAGAATTCAGAACCTACTCTTTGGAAAATGGAGACATGTGTGCATGTCTTATTCTTTATGATTTTTTGGTTGACACTGTCTGACTTGAAATCCTAGCTCTGACATCTTACATCTATTTAGGTTAGTAAGTCACTGAATTTTTAGAACATGAGGTTCCTCAACTGTAAAAATGGAGAAAATTGTATACTACCTCTTAGGATCCTTGGGATAATTACATGAGAATAAGATGTGAATGCACTTTTAAGCTAGGAGATATATCAGCACAGTTGTGATTGTTAAAATACTGGTGCTAGATGAATCACACCTCCCTCTTTACAGTGGGACTGCCACGTTTTCTAGCAAGAGATACTGTTTCCTCACGCTTTACCAAGAGAATATGGTAGGAGAGGCATGTAACTTCCTAGGCTCGCCTTCCAATCTAGCCCTCTTCATATTCAGAGACCTCTATGCTCTGAAGAAGCCCAGGAGGTGAGAATTCAAGAGAGA